AATCCTGAGTCCCTAATTAATGTGATTAATCATTGCTCAGATAAGTAATCCCTTTGACTTTAATGAGATTCATTGAACGGAAGAATAATTGCACATGTGAATAACAGTTTGCAGTATTGGATTAAAAAACCAAAATATAACCATCATATACTAGTGCTAAAAACACACTGAGTCAGTTTGAAATGTTTTTTAAAAAAATGGAGGGGTTTGTAATAATTTGCATACTCTATACAATATAAAAACAGGGAAGTAATTTTCCATCTCTTATGTAACAATATGTGGGAATAGTCCTTCCATAAAGAAATATACTTTTAAAGAGTATATCTCTTAAACTAAACTGCATAAACTAATACTGCTTTTTGCTTTTCTAAACTGCCAGTTACAAAACTTGGTAATATTACTGAAGGGTGGGTATGGAGGTTTTCCTGTTGTGTGTGTGTTATTTACAGTATTCTAGGGAAAATAATCATTTCCCAGGTCTGCAGTATTAAACTCCAAACCATAGGCCCCATCCTATGTTCCTTGCTATTCTCTTCATTTATATCAGTGGCCTGGGTCTTCAGGGAATGCAGGATTGTGCATTAGGATAGTAAACAGGAACCAAAGCAAGACACAGAGAAAGCAGGATTAATCAAAATATCCATAATGAATGCTAATGAAGCTAACATGCTAGTAGTGAATGAAATAGCTTTGTAAAGTATTAAGGTTGTTTTATAGTAGACAAGATTCTGAACATATAAATTCTGACACTGAAGACACTATGTTCTTAATATCTTATCTTTGTATGGTATTGGGTGGCTTAATCTCAAACAGTAATTCTGGTGTAAAAAGAGAGACAATTCAATGTGTCCATTTTAGATTAGCTGATAGAATTATTGCAGAATTATAACTCCATAATAGATGTGTAAATTTTGAAAGGATGCTTCATATGAGACAAGTGACAATCTCAAAATGTGTACCCACAGTGATGATATGTGCACTATATTTAAATAGGAATCAACTCTGATCCCATGGTTGTCAGTGAGCGTTTTGTCACTGAATTCAATGGAAGTGGATTCAGTCCCTTTTAAGAAAG